GCAAGGGACTCGGCACCTGAAAATCCCCCTGGGACCAGGGCCCCCCACGAAGTCCCCGGGCCACTCACAATGAGGATGGCCACAAAGCACGCCAGCGTCGTGTTCCAGTCGCCGCTGCCCGTGGCCGCTGCCTTGCCCACCAGCACGCTGTAGAAGATGAAGTCCCCCAGGCCGAGCTTCACGCCCCCTATGCAGGGAAGACAGAGCTGGTCAGTGTCGGGAGCCCCAGACAGCAGATGTCAGCTCACAGCCCAGCCCCTCCACCGGATCCGGGGGCCCCGGGGGGCCCCAGTCCTGGCTGTCCCAGAACAGCAGCAGCCAGCAGGAAACCGGGCCCTCGGACGGGCTGACCTGCCGTCTGGGCTGTGAAAAGGCTGGCATTTCTGACAATTCGGGGAAGTGGCCCTGAGCTGAGTAAAAAAAAAAAGCAAATATAACGTGCCGTGGGGGGTCGGCGGGAGGCCATAGGATTTAGGGCTGAGTTTAAGTTACACATTTTTGTACAAAAGGTGTCCTCGAAGGTGACGCGTACGATGTCCAGAGCTCGTCAGGCAAGCCTTCCCCTTAAAAACAGAGGAGCGTGGCTGCTAATTAACTGACGTCTCACCGACAGTGAACGCGAGCTCGCACATCGGCCGGTGCGCTTGTTAACAGGGTAAGCGTTCACCGCGGACGATAAAACCGTCTGACGAACGCACCTGCTGCCTCGTCTCCTCTCTCTCCCTCCTCCCGGCCACGGGGGCTCCCTCCTCCAGGTGTCACTGCCGCTGCCGTCTCTGATGCAAAAGGGGGCTTCTCCCCACCACCCTCCCCTGCCTCCAGGGAGCCCGTCTCCACCCCCCGCCCGCACCCTGAGCTCACGCGGACCACCCGGGCACAGATGACTCACTTTCCTCCTCTTCCTCCAAGTCGTCCCCGGGGTAACCAGGCAGCGGGGGCTCAAAGACTTCGGGGTATGAGGGCTCCCCAAAACTGTCATAGGAGTCTTCCTCTGGGGATCCGAGAACGTGACCGTCATTGCGTGAGGCGGGTGCGCAGGAGAGAGACAAAAGTCCGGTCAGAGGGATCTGGGATCTGTGGGGAACCGGCCTGAGCCTGGGGCTCCCCTGCCCTCACCCCACTGGCCGGGCCAGCCCAGCCCTGAACGGAGAGGAACCTTCCGGCACACGCCCAAGGGAAGGGAAGAAGGCCAACGGACTGAGGCACAGGCTCTAAGTCCCACCTGCTCCATCCAGGAGGAGACTTTCCCCTCCAGCCCCCCACCCAGGGCGGGGGGGTGGGGGTGGAACAGGCCGGGCCGGGCGGGGTGCAGGGCAGCAGGCCCGGGCGACGAGAGGCTGCCAGCCTGCGACACTCACCCATCTCTGGGTCGTAGGGCAGCTGAAGGGCTCCCTGGGAGGAGGGGTCCAGCTTGGCCATGCCCACCGTCCACACCATGGCGGCTGGGGAAGGAGACGAGGGGTGGGGGGTGCCTCAGGTGCTGCCGA